ACATATATATATATATATGTATATATATATATATGTGTATTATATGCATATGTATATTGTATACACATATATATGTATATATATGTGTGTGAAGTATGTATGTATGTATGTATGTATTTATGTATGTGTGTATGTACATATATATATATATATATATATATGTGTGTGTGTGTGCGTCTGTCCGGATATTTCATTTCGGCAACCGAGTAAGCTCCGGCGCGAAAATTTTGCCAGTGGGCTCCCCGGCCAAGTGCCACCCTAGGATCGTGGTACCAACCCCCACACACATCTGGGCCCCGCGTACGGCTAAATGAAAGTTTTGGCGGGAAAACCGCTGGGGGACCAGAAAAGCTGAGAGGCTGAAGTTTTCAGGGGATGTTCTCCACCTTCGTAGAACTCAAAATTTTCAAATTCAGCCGCCAGGTGTGCGTGGTTCTCATGTATGCCACGTGAAAATCTGTGGCGGAAAAATCGCCAACTCGGGAACCAGAAAGGCTAGGAGATTGAAATTTTAAGCGAATATTTTCTGCCCAAGTATCACACAGTTGCACATTTGACTTCCCGAACTTCGAGGAGCAGTATGTCACAATTTCTAGCTGCTGGGTTTCCGAGCGATCTTTCTACAGCACAAAATACTGCAGAAACGCATGATCGCACGGACCCACTTGGTGCGCGTCGCTATTAATTTGGTTTCATTCACTCTGTGTTTCAGACTTGAATTGGCAACACATCGACGTCGTTTTAGCTGGGAGGCTTCGCCACGCAGTATTCATGAAGGCGTTGCACATGCAATTTCTCTTTCCGACTGCATGGCGTTTGACAGTCAGACAGCGCAGCTGTTCGCCGAGAATGGGAATCTTGGCATTAATGTTACTATATCCATGGTTTGAACTTACTAGTTCACTGGCCTGCCCCAAAATTCCGTTGGGAACGTCTTGTTTTGATACTGCTGTTAACCTTTTTAAAATACACTTCAGCTTTTGCACTCTTTCTCATTTTTTAAATGATCTGAGCATGTTCTTGCTAAAATTTTTCACAATTATTGCTGAAAAACAACTTCCTCCGACTGTCATTTCGAAGCGTATTTGATAATGATGAATCAGGGTTCTCTCTGTTTGTGTGTGTGTGGGTGTGGACGTGGGTATTTGTGGGTGCGAGTATGTATGTGTGTGGGTATGTGTGGTTGTAGGTGCGAGTGTGGGTATGTGTGGGTGTGGGTATGTGTGTGTGTGTGTTGTGCGTGCGTGTTTGTGTGTGTATGTGTGTGTGTATA